AACCCAGCTAACCCAGAGCAGAGCAGATGAAATTTTAGTTCTTCCATTCTTAGAAGAGGACTGAAAGAGAGAGTAAGACAAATAATGCATTCTTCTCCCTTATCAGTAAAGCCAGTCCCCACCCCACCACTGCCCTCAATGCTACCCACCCTGCAGGAACACTGGACTTTCTTCCAAAAATTGTCATTGTCCAAAAGACTGTAAAAGGTTCATCCCTGCAGCTACAAATGCAACTACAAGTATTACATCTTTCCCTTTGATTTGGAAGCAGAAACATGGCTCTTCTATCATAACCGTAAACCGCCCACAAACAACACAGTGTTTCAATAAACACTAAGTGATGCAAGATGCCCCACTTCAATGTAATGGGTTAGTTAATGAAGCCCATCACTAAACAAAGCAACTGAGCAAAATTTGATACAAAACAAATAATTTTGCTTTGCCCAAAACAAACTGTCTTATGAGGTGAATGTCTTTGGAAACTCTTCAAATGGTTAGGAAGTAGACCAATGAAATGGACATTAACAGTAAACCTTAAATGCATTTCTGGTTGGCAAAGAGCATCGCTTATTAAGAAAATCACACTGAACAACTTAATGCTCCTCCTGAATTTCTAAGTAGAGTTTTATTGTTTTAGAAACAAAATGATGCACATTTCTTCTAGAAGGGTAGGTAGGGAGATCTTTTAGGATTTTTAATTACTAAGTATACATATGGGTTACTTTAACCTGAAATGGGGCATATTTTAAAGATGTCACAATTATTTTGAGAGAACATGATGGAAATTTTGTCCTTCATCCTTTTAATCATTGATTCGCCACGCAGGTATTCAGTGCCTATTTAATGCAAGGCCCTAAGGGATGCTTTTAAATAGCTCATAATGGAGAGGTTCTCCTGATGTCTTTATTAAAAACCATGCCATGAGCCAAAGATCTTGCAAATTTGACAAGAAAAGACAAATGAAAGTCCCAGCATAGAGCAGACTCTATGTTTTGTCTTGGTTCCCTTCTGCACTTGCCCATTACTATTCACTGTCTTTTTCTTGATCCATCAGCATGGCCCAAAACTGGCAGTGAGATTAATGAGAAGCAGTTGGGCCATCAGAACATTTAAATCTCTTCATTGTCCATCCCCACCATTGAATTCCTCCTTCCCATCCTCATCATGTAATTTCTAGTTTCTTATAACCTCATTATAGACCTACATTCTCTTACGTCTCCAACTTTTATATGTTGCAGTTGAAATCATATTTGCCCCTGTTTTTTCCACTTAAGATGGGGTACAATGGTAAAAACCACTTGCATACTTGTCTATCCTACTCATCTTCCACTCCAAATAGATTCCAAGTTTTTAAAATCATGCAGCATAATGCAGTCCACCTAGCAGACACTCAATAAATTTTACGTGCAACGTATAACTAGAAAGCATGTTATAGATCATTTAGTCTGAGTCTCCTCCGCCTGTGATGGGGAAACTCAGGCTTAGAGAACTTCCGGTGGTTAGAGAAGGTACAAATTGGCAGTTAGTGCTAGAATCCATATCTCCTGACTTTGGATCTAGTACTCTATCAGCAGAAACTCGCTGCCTCAAAAACATCTGATAAACACCTCAAAATTATTCCTGGCCCCATTGAATCTATTCCCTTTGATCTGGCAGTTTATTCACTGCCTTCTAATCATATTGTGCTAAATGCTGAATATATAGAGTAAATACAGAATATGTATGTGGTCTCTGCTCTTAAGGAACTTATCAGAAACCATAGGCAATAATATAGTAAATAAATAATAATTATAAACAGGATTAAGTGCTATGAAATACACAAATATCATGAAGTGACTGGGGAAGGGTGATTGGAAACTACAGGAAGGTCAGGAAGGACTGAGGAATGACATTCCAGCCAAGAACAAAATTAGAAGAGAACTTAGTTTGTATTACTTTCTCTCCTAGCTACAATCCTTGGTCCAAGCTATCATGCATGCAGGAAGTAGTTACCAACCCACCACACCATGTTGTATCCTGCCTCTCACTGAATTCAAAGTTTAAGATCCACTTTAAAAAAAAAATCCCTTGGAATGCCTGGATGGCTCAGTTGGTTGAGCGTCCGACTTCAGCTCTGGTCATGATCTCACAATCCATGGGTTCGAGCCCCATGTTGGGCTCTGTGCTGACAGCTCAGAGCCTGGAGCCTGCTTCAGATTCTGTGTCTCCCTCTCTCTCTGACCCTCCCCTGCTCACTCTCTCTCTCTCTCAGAAATAAATAAAACATTACAAAAAATTTAATCCCATAATTAAGTCCAACCCATTATTGAATCTTCTGGTAGAGTTTCCTTCCTTCAAGTTCAAATTCTGACCAACTCCTTCCCCATGTCCCAGAACTGCTTAATTGCTAAGAATACATTTCTATGGGTTATGTGACTATTTATCAAACTCTCTGAGGACAGGAGGCCTATTATTTAATACTTATTCCAAACATCTACTAAAGAACTGAGTAAATATGTTATAGGTTAACACATATCCAAGGGTCAAAATCCTACATGTCACTGTAGCTTTTTTTTCTCTGCAGCAGCAGTGATTGGCTAACAAATACCTTTTTATAATGTAAAGATCAATGAATACCACTAGCATTCATCAGTTGCTTCTTTTTTATTTTTAATTTTTTTATTATTAAGTTTATTTATTTTGAGAGAGAGAGAGATACACAGAGTGCAAATAGAGGGTGAGGCAGAGAGAAAGGGAGACCCAGAGTCCAAAGCATGTTCCAGGCTCTGAGCTATCAGCACAGAGCCCCACAGAGGGCTCGCACAAACTGTGAGATCATGACTTGAGCCTAAGTCAGATGCTAAACTGACTGAGCCATCTGGATGCCCTGTATTCATCAATTGCTTCTTACTTCTAGGGGTAACTTTAATTTATTCAGTTTTCGGTGTTCAGTTTTTCAGTGGCTAAATGATAAGCACATGCTATAAGAATAGGAAGATGAGTAAGATACAGCCTATTTCTCATCAGTGGAGGTAAACATAAACCTAATTAGGACTCAGTGTGATGGTTGTAATAGAAATATGTTGAGATGCTTTCAAAGCAACTGTATCAAGATAGGGGGAGGTGGGTCAGAGAAGACTTCACAGAGGTGAGTCTTGAAGGATGGATAGCAGGTCTAGCAGATGAACAAAAAAACAGCACTGAGAACATAATTGCATGTAATATCATGCTCAATGCTGTATGAGGCCAGTTAAGTGGATGTGACCTCTGGCCTCTAGAAACTTCACATCAAAGGGGAAAATGATGCAGGTTCAAGATTCCATATATAAGCTAAATAAATAGGGCCCTTTTAAATGAAAATAAGCAGTATGCTAATGGAAAGGCAGGTGCTTTCACATGATCATAAGTAAAAAGGAAATTATGGGAGGACTTTTCCCTGCAAGGAAGACTCAAAACATTTCAGGTGGTCACAGTAGCCAGTAGCCTTTCTGAAAAAAGAGGACTTATTTGTTTACCCCAATTAAACAACTAGTATTGAATGGTTTAATTTGGTTACTGTGCCTATAAGGCATCTCCAGTTACACTTTTAAAAAATTGAGTGTCTGGAGGCACTGGGGTGGCTCAATCAGTTAAGTGTCTAACTTCGGCTCAGGTCATGATCTCATGGTTCATGGGTTCAAGGCCCACATCTACACTGGTGGCACAGAGCCTGTCGAGATTCTCTGTCTGCCCTTTCCTCTCTCTCTCTCTCTCTCAAAATAAATAAACTTAATAAAATAAAATAAAGTGACTGCCTAGTGATAAGACTAGCATAAGAGGTTAATTGGAATGCACCTTCCAAAGGAAATCTTTCCTCTTAAGTCTCTTCGACATTTTTCAGGTTCAGGGACCAAAAAGCACTCTGCCTATATCTATGAGTTTGTGCCTAAGTGGTATTTATTCCATTAATCAACAATATCTCTTTTGCTTTTATTTTTTCCTTCAATGTCTAAAAGGTTTGTGATTTTTGAACATTTTATAATTGTTTTCTTTGATTTTTTTAATCTTCACTTCTTCATACCTGAGTAGGGACATTTGATTTAATCATGTTAGTGTTTCCAATGCAGAAGAAATTCCACAACATATACTTCCAGAAGGGATCTTTCTGAAAAAAATCAATGGGAGAGTTTTATCAAGAAGAAATGTTTAGCTTTGTAGAATATGTTGAATTTGGCTGGATATAAAAATAACTCCCCAAGATATTACATACAAAATCAAGTCCACACAAGAGTTTACTAATACACTTAGGAAGTAAATGTAGGAGTTCAGGAAATAAAGAATATTACTTGGTGATGTTGAGATTCTCACGTACAGTAATATTTCATTATCTGGAGTTTATTTGGCAACCTAGCTGGCCTCAGAAACACCATGACCACCAGAAACCGAGTCATACTCATCCTGAGACTATTTACACTTATTGTAGTCAACTCCAAAACCTTGATTCTCGGATTTTCCAGTGCTCTGCAAATTAGAAGTAAAATATAGACGAAATTGGAGAAAGCTACTGCTAAAGACAATGAGAAGTGATAACTAAATATTCTAACAGTAAGAAAAAGGAGGAAGAATATTATTTAAAAGGAAATAAAAATTCAAAATCTAGCATTCCCTGAGGCCTAATAGACCTTATAAGTTCCTGGAGTAGGCATAACATAACACAGTTCACTCTATGTAATCATTCTCTATTGGCTAAGAAATGTGCCGTATGTTTCAGATAGATTTTTGGTAATTTATCTTTTTTTTAGTATTGGGAGGGACAACTTCAGTTTTGGGAAAGATTTGCTTATGCAAAATAGTTTCTTCTTGTTCAAAACCGCTGGATGAATGTGAGGTGACAATGTTAAAATCATTACAGATGGCAAACCGCCCCCACTGGCCTGTCTGTGCATGAGCGTGCGCGCCGTGGCTCTTTCTCAGCGTCTTTGGGACAGGCCTCTGATAGAGATTCTACTTGTTTCTTTCTCTTTCTCTTTCTCTCTTTCTAGCCGGAGACCACCCCCATCACCAACTCGTCCCACTATAATCCGTCCACTAGAATCCTCCCTGTTAGACTAAACGAAGTGTCTGGCATGGCAATTAATTACTAATGAATTATGTGAAAGCAACATATTTGATCAGTAAATCATGAGTAGTCGCATGTGTGGACATCAGTAGGCAAGTAACCAGTTTTACTAATGCATTTTCGCTCATCTTCTTTGCTCATGGTGTATCAAACCTTTGGAGTTTGACTCTTGAAAACTGCTAACCCTTTGAGGCTTTATATGTACTATTGACCGAGGGTAGGTTTGTATAGCAGCCTGGCAGTGGGGGACAATTTGCCTACCCTGGCATATATTTGAAATTGCTTTGGACAAGTTCCCAGGTTATCTACCAGGTAGCCCATTAAGTATAATTCTTAAGAGCTATGAGATGGTGGGCTTAGACCTACATTTATTATATTTATTTTCCCACATTCTGTTTTGGCTGACAAAAATTATGTTGTCTATTATTAATGTTTCCTCCTACTCTATAATTACCTATTATAGATCTTTCCTCTTTTTGCTTTATTTCATAAGGCTGCTAAGAAGTGACTTTTTTTAAATTAGGACTCCTTAAGAATAAAACTTTTCCAGAAGCACAGGTAGTTTGCAAAGGAAAAGTTAATGCATTGCTTGCTCTAGAGAGCTTCTCCTCTTACCACTGTGTTTTGCTTCATGCTAGAAGCATATTCACCAGTGAATCAAAGCTTAATTTTTTGGTAGTCGGTCAGTAGATTTGGCTAGTTTCAGAGTTCAAGGAAGAAGCAAAATTTCACATCTCTAGAAGTGTCTGGAAATAAGTAATTTCTTTGTTTATATATATATACCTCTTTATAGGTTACAATGAAGGTTGACATGGAACATATATAATTTTTGTACTGATCTAATTTTAGGCCTGGCTAACTACACTTTGACACTAACCCCAGTTTATTTATTTATTTGGCTGGAGCAAACATTTTACTCTCTTTCCATGCTAATTTCTAATTCCCCTGTGTAAGACTTTTTCCTCCCTTTAAAACCTGTTTAATGTAACTTCCTATCCATTCTAGGCTTTCTTAATAGATCTTGAGCCTCGCTCTGGGATAAGAGGGGGTCCTAGAATGAAAATAAAAGCCATTTAGTAAGAGATGCCATGGTTTAATAGCAGAGCTCACACTTTTACAGTTGTACAACTTCAGAGTCTTTATACAGGTCATTCTAAAAAAAATTAAGAAATTGAAATCTAAAGGAACTTGGCAAATGCTAACATTTCTAAAATTTGCAAAATCAGTTTAGCTTGGGGGTTAATAGTTCAGTCTTGAGGCTGAGTTTTGGACTATGTAGGACCAGATGATCAGCATGTAGGAAACAGCCAGAAGCCAAGTGGAATTCTGTCTGCTAACTGTTCCCAGACAGCAGAGCAAGTACTTACTGAATAGTGGCGTCCCATGACACTATTTCATATTCTACAGAAGTAAATCAGATTTCACCAACTGAAATGTCTCCCTTTGAAAGCAGCAAACATGATTTGTATGTTAACTTAACTTTAATTTCCTGTGTAGTTTATACCCAGAGCAGACACTCATAAACTATGAGGTAAAAACTTTCAACCATTATTAAAAAGAGAACTTGCCAAGTTGAATGGCATTGTTCTGAAGTTATTCTAAAGGGTTACAGCTAGCCCACTTATAATGAGCAAAAATCAGAGAATATAAAATTTACAAGAAGAACATTTCAACTTTTCAGTTACAAGTGATTGTATAAAGAACACCACCCTAAATCTTCTCACATCTTTTTTTTCTCTTTTGAAAAATAATCTTAACTCTTTGTGAATGGAACAGATGTGCAAGATATATAATGTATTTTTAAAATAGCTTCAGCTAAATGGAAATGGGTTAAGTAAATGTCCATAGTAAAACAAATTATCTACAGTGAGTTCTTTTCATAAAATTCCCTCTTTTTAGGATTGCCTTTGCTTCTTCCTTTGAATTCTCTAAAATAGGCAGCTAAGGGATTATATACTTCAGGGTTTGGCTTTGTGCTAAATGTGGTTTTGCATTTTGCTGTATTTCAAAAATTTCCTTCTGTTAAAGGAAAATATTGTGGATAACCACTAGTGTGTTCTTAGATCAGCACAAACCATGTCAAAGAAAATTGGAGATGTTTTTCCAAGTTTCTTTCCACTGATCTTATGTAGTCATAAACAATGGCATTTGTCGTCTTTGGCTTTTCCTCCCAGATTATAATCCTACAGTTTCACTGTCCCAGTTGTCTCTCTTTGTAGGCACATTTTTGTTCTTTTACTTCTGAGTTATTTCTAACAGAACCCAGCTTCCTCTGGAATTTCAGAAGTCATGTTGGAGAATACTTTCAGTTTGCTGCAGTACCATGTCATGTGATTAGTATGAATACCATGTCCCCAAGGTTTTGCGTCCTACTAAAAGGAGATGTCAATGTGAATGGAGTCAGGAGCTCTAAGATGTGAGGAAATTGCATTGATACCTTGCCTTAAGGTGGGAATGTAGCCTTATGAGCTTTCTAAGAGTTTTCCATAGCACCCCTCATCTTTTGTGTAGCTTCCTCCTAACTGATTGCTCTGATGTTGTCTACACAATAGATGCCTAGCATAATCAAATATAACAGTATTTTTAGGATTTGGAAAAATAAACTGTGTGTGTGTTTTTTGATAGGTGTATCACTTCTTGTCACACGCTAAACCTTGCATGCTTATTGACTCATTGGAATAACCATTTACTCAATTGTGGACAGATTATTGAAATAGTATTGATTTAAGACAGATATATTGCATTTCCAGAATTCATCTACCAAGATTACTGTTCTGAATATTAATTTTAGCTGACATTTATAACATATAAGAGCAGTAGGGTCTGTTTAGTAGCAAATTGCCTACCTGTTCAGATACAAACTCATTCTATTCCAAAACATTATAATGAAACCAGTTCCTGTGGTATAACTGTAAGCCTTCTAAACTTAGAATTTAAACATAGTCATATAGATTAATTTTATGACTTTTAGTATAGACTGTAGCCATAATTCTCAAATATGAAATGGGACCTAATACCAGTATGTGATAAATGTTGATGTTTTGTGTGTACAAACATATTTTCTATGCATGTGTCTCTGTGTGTACAGTATATACATGGTAAATTCATTTCTGTAAGTACATGTGTCTCGTGCCCCTTTGGGTAGGTAGGTTTAAAAGCACTTGTTAAAATGCCACAAGCATGCGTGCGATCGTTTGTGCATTGTGTATATATGCTATGTTTGGGTGTAAATATTTATGTGTACATGTGCTGTGTGTGTGGGTATGAATATATTTTTTAAACTGTGTTAGTACAAGAGCTCACTTTGAAGGGTCTGCCATATGTGCTAACAGTGGTTCACATAACTGTGATAACATACATGAGGTCTACAAAATTTTGCAAGGAGAGGCACAAAGCTCAGAATTACCATGATAACATGGTAGAGTAACAGCCACAGTCATTTGGACATAAATCCACAGCGCTGCTATCTAAGGAATTACCTTTGCCAAATATACTGTAAGATCTGGAAACCCACTCTTAAGATCTCTGATTGGAATTATAAATTACTCTTGGATTGCTGAGCTGAACCTTAAAAAGCTAAATTGGTCTACAAAGTCATTTTTTCTCTATAGTAAATGTCAAAAAAATAAAGTGGAGAGAGATACCAATATAACAAAAATAATGGACTTTACTGAATAAATTTTCTAAAAATGCAGGGAAGAAGTTACTTAATACCTCAGAGATGGGTCATCTGTCCCCTCTTTTAGGTAAACATTTCTCATTTGGTAAACAAGATAAGTATTTGAAACTGATAGTAATCTCCTTAACATTGAGAATAAAACCTAAATAGTAGGTCTCTGAACTGTGCAACCCAGTGAAAGGAGATAATATATGAGACTCAAGCCTAGTGTTATATCATTTCACCAAGAAGACTGCTACCTGTGAGCTCACAGTCTAATGTGAAAAAGCTAGATGATTGTAGAGAAACGATAATTAGTTCACTAGATCACTCACCCCTTTCTTAAAAGCTCAAATGTGTCTTAATCATCCTTTCTAGTTGGTATGCTTAAAATTGTGTGGTGCTCTGTATTGTGAAACTTGAAGAATATTTTGAAACATATGTAGTATATGCTTTGCTATCTGTATATATGTGTAAGAATGCGCATGTGTGAGAGCAAGAGAGAGGAAACTCAATGAAGTGTCTCTTGTTCGTCGTAAGGCCTGTTTGTACTGGTATACTGGTGAGACTGCTCACCTCCCTGGTCTGGAGTTTTACACATGGCTCAGCTCAAGGCATTCATTTCTTTTCATGTTTACCCTTGAATTCCTTCAACTTTGCTCATTGTGTAATGTTTTAAAAATTATAAAAATTACTGTCAACCTCTTGCATTGTCTGCTGCCATTTTGATTTAAAAAAACTATTCTTCTCAACCAGAAATTTCACCATTACTTGATTTATGTTTAATTTCGTATGTATAGCCTTCGGTTTGCTTCCTTGTCTGTTTCTTTTCTCTCCCTTTTCCGAATCAAATTCCTCTTTTGCATTGTTATGAAGAAGCAGTGTATAGAAGCAAAATCTTAACCTTCTCAACTGATTCTTTAATTAATTTGAGCCAGAATACTTTCCACTGTCTTCTTGGCACTTTCAGGATTTCTTAATACTGATATATGGATGGACTCTGTGAATGGAATTTTGGAAGCAAGTTTCTCAAGCCTGTATCATTCTTGAAGGTCACATGTACCTATTGTGAAAATGTGAAGCTGTATTTCTGAACCTGAAATAAATGATAACATTTGAAGGACTCCCCCCTTCCTCATTCTTGCATAATATATTTGAGTCATTCTATGCATATCAGTAAAATGTGAGGCTTCTAAATACTTATAACCCTTTTGATCAAATTGGCCCAAAATTAACAAAATGGAGAATACCATTAGACATTACTGTCAGTAATTTGGGGAAGGTCAAGATTTTTAAAGGGAGCAAATTGGACAAACCAAAGGCAGAAGAGTAGGAGACATTTTATTTCTGGTTCAAAGTCAGTATTGAAGTAGGTTAAAAAAGGGCACAAGGCTTAGACAGTTGGAGGGTGCAATGTGACACTTGACAAGAGGCACCATCTTATTTTGCTAATCAAAAGGAAAAGTTCGTGAAAATCCCTGGGAAGCAGAAGGAAGGAAAATATTCACCCAAATGTTAGATCCACAGAAGGCATTTCTTACAAGAAAAAATTGAGCTCTTGACCCAACAGTTGGCCTCCATTATTTCTTCATTGGGCATTGAGGGGGAGAAGTTACCCCTTAAGTTTCTGTAATATTAAGAAAATGGAATAGGCAGAGTACTAAATAGTAGTAGCTAAACCCATCCTCGTCTTCAGTTTCCAGAGCATAGAGACTCTTTGTTACAGAGTTTTGATGATATGTCCCATATAAATGTACATAGTCCCAGACTGAACCA